CCGGGACAGGCCGCTTGTGGCCGCAGCCACAGGGCTCTGTTAACCGGAGAGGAAAGGAGACGCTGGTGCTTCGGGAGATGTCAGCTGGGAAAATGCCCTCTCTCCTGGCACAGTTTTTTGTTAAACAACAAGAGGAAAGAGCTGACAGCTCGGATGAGTTAGCCTTGCATTGAAATGTTTGACTAAAACGTAAGAGTCCTTCTGCAAATAATTTTCCAGGGATCTTTCTCCACATGTATTTTTTCCTCTAAAAGGTGTGCATAAATTTGGCAGTTGAAACTTAAGGAATTTAAAATCCAGTAACTAATCCATTATTTTCAATTGTTTTTACAGATAAATGATGCTATGCAGTTTCTCCAGGACTCTTTCCAGTGGTAGAATTTCATTATCTTCCTCAGTTTGAATGGGCATTTAAAATATTTTCATGAGACATTAGCAAAAATGAATAATAAAATTAATTATTTTTTAAATACTGTCAGATACATTCATAGGTGTCATTCTGTGCTTACTCCCAAATCCTCAGCTACAACTAGAAAACATATTTTATGGATTGGCATATACAGGAATCCCCTGGAAAAGGTGACCTTCAGGAAATTATTTTTAAATATTTTTCCTTCTGTGCGTGGATCATCTCGATTTCTATCTCAAAAGACAGAGGTTTTTAGCACAGGTGCTAAAATACAAGATAAAAGTACGGAGGATTTGGTGGGTGAGCAGGCTCCCCAAAGCTCCTTGGAACTTGAAAAGTTGGACAATTCTGAGAGCTTCAAAGGAAAGCATGTCATGGATCACAGTGATCCATTCTTTAGTAGTCTCCAGAAATGCACCTGTCCTTCTGACGTACTAGACTTGGTTTTGGAGTCTGCCGTTTCTGTTAAGCACTTCACAAACTGTTTAACTACAATATGGAAGCTCTTCAAAAACCTGTCTGAAGACCAGCAGCGTTATGAGAAGCAGCTGATCTTTGAGCATCCAGCTTTTGTCAAGCTTTGCCAGCAGCTGCTACGGGACGCCAGAAGGATGACACGGGGTGACCTGGTGTTCAGTCTGCATGCTGTGGTGAACCTGGGCATTCCTCAGAACACTCTCCTAGTTCAGACTTTGGTGAGGGTGTGCCAAGTAAGTATCAAAATCCCTCTTCTACATTTGGGCTGAAACCTCGAGGATAATTCTGGGTGGATGTGCAACAGAGACACGGTTACATCCCTGGTTTAGTCTGATGTTCTGTGGAAATAGGGCTTCATTGTTCGACTTGTGTGTTCTTCTAATTTCCTTTATTTTTGAAACCACTGCCTGGTTTCAGGCAGATTTAACAATAGAGAGGTCTCAAAAGTCATTACGTTTTTCAAATCAACTCAGTTTGACTGATATGATGCCTTGTAGGTCACTGCAGGATTAAAGTTTACTAATTGACTTCTGGGGGGAAGAGAAGATGCTTGGTACAGATTAAGATTGGTTAGTTTTTCTTTTCTGAAACTTACTGGTCTGAAGTAATCTGACATTATGAAAACTCTTTCAACAGGAGAAGCTCAATCAATTTGATAACCGATGTATCTCAGTTTTGGCAACTACTTTAGTCGGGCTGGGTAAAGACAAGAATGTGAGCGCTCTTCAAGCTGGATTACAGTGAGAAAAAATATATCTTTCATGTGTTCTTCATATTTAAATGTTGTTTGACAATATGCCTTTTAGAAATCATGGAGGGAATGTCTGCACATAAAAGATATATTGTGGTTTTAGGACTTTAATGATCTCATGAGATAACACAAGACAGTGATTTTTTGCATTGTCTTTGCAGTTTTAAGCAGAAAGGCTTCCAGTGGCACAGGGTGCTAGACTGCTCTGAAGGGGCTTCATAATCTGACTGCAGCTCCACCAGGTTTTTTTGTGATGTTGGTAAAGTCACTTCACGTATATATGCATCTGTTTTATCCGTGTGTAGAGGAGGTAATGATATTAGCTTACTTTGTGAAGTATTTTGATTTGTCATGAAAATGCTACTTAACAGTTAGGGCATATTTTCTTTTAATTTAGAAAGTAAAAATAAAGATGAAGACAAGTTTAGACTTCATTTGTGCATCCAGCAAGACCTTCTGTATAGTGCTTTATGAGAATAACTTCCTTAGCTGTAGTTACTTTTTCTAGGGCAGTGAGATTTATGTGGGTAACTGATCTGCTCACTCCCTGGAGATAGTTTTTACTGAGAATGTCATAAAACTTGCCATGGATTAGTACATTTGGTGCCATGTGAAGTTCTGCTTTGAGAAGGTGGATGTGTTAGTGATACACAAAAAACAGGTTCTCTTGGATGCTCAGGTACACAGTTCTTGCTAATTCTTGTAAGAGAGTGGAAGACCCATTGACAGCTCTTTCTTTGTCTTGATGTCTGGACCTCCTGCCCATTAGCAGGAAACTGGATCAGCAGGGATGAATTTCAGAGTAGTGCATTGCCTTAGGAAGCCATAGCCATGCAGGTATATTTAAGGGTGATTCAGACATCACAATTACAATACTTCCCCCTTCTAAGCCAGAAAAGGAGGTTCTGAGAAAGCACAATTCCTTGATCTTGTGCATATGATCCCTCTTGTGTTATGATATCCTTCTGTTCCTGCAACCCACAGCACTGCTTGTTTGGGTTTTTTTCTCACTTGCACCAGGTTGTTGTAGTGTTCATCCCGAGTTCAGACCTTCCCTGCACATAGAGGATTCCATTATGAAAATATGGGGGAGTTTTTTGTTTGGTTTTGTGTTGTTTTTTTCCTGCAGAAGAGCATTAGTAGCTTGAGGCTTAATCACATTCACATCTCCAGTGTCACATGTGCAGTCTGGGTAGATTGCCCTACTGTTTATGAATCAGCAACATTAATCTATCAGGATAACATTAAGAAAGCATACGTAATTATTTCCATGTGCAAAATATCTGTACTTCAGCTACAGAGTTATGCTGGCTTTGCAAAAAAAGAGGTGGGAGAGGAGCAGGGAATAACGGTTTTAACTTGGGAGTACATCAATAAGAGAGTATGGGGTGCGTACCTGTTTCTGCTGAAACGAGGAAAGCTCTGTTAAACAGTTATTCTCTCAAGCTCAAGGCCTTGTGTTTTTCTTTATCAGATTACTAGTGGAGCAGCGCATTCCAAGTATCAGAGATATCTTTATACTGCAAAACCTGATGAAATGCATGGGAAAAGATGCTCCAGTCTTTCTGAAAAAGAAATTAGAGGTAAATTAGTTGGAGGCTTGTTTTTACTTTCACAAAGCCTGTGCTCTTGAATTAATTTTAAATTTTGTATGGTTCTTTCCAGGCACTCAAATAGAAAGTATAATAGTAGGGCTAATTGCATTTGCTTTATGAATCATAATCAAGCTATATCTGCAGGAAGAACTCAAATTTGAGGCTAGTAATATCCCACTATGAAAGGGGGCAGAAAGCAATGGAGACGGTACAAAAAGAATTGATACAGTAAAATAGCAGTGCCCTCCCCTCGTTTGGATTGGCCACATGGTATTTCACTGAAGCACTTACAGGCTGTTCCCTGATTCCCTTGCCCAGTTTTAGGCTTGGTGACCAGAAGACAGAAAATTAGTCTATGATGGAGCTATTGCCCAGTAATGGTACAGAGCTAGAGGACTGATGGGAGTAACATGCCAGGAGAATTCACCTAGCTCATGGCCTTATCTTTCTCTTGTACCTGAAAGGGCTCCTGGAAAATACAATGGTTGGGAGCAGGCTATCGTTTTTATGACAGGGCACACTGGGTTTTGTCCCCTGATTTAAAAACAATTTTTGAAACCTTCTTTCAAAAAGGGCCTGCTAGTGTTTTTATCACATAGCTGAAGTGCTTTGAGGTCAGTGTGTAGTAGCACTCCTGAGGAAGTGAGGGAAGATACCACTGATGGGAAACTAGGTAAGAGTAGAGCAGGGGGCTCATGCAACATGCTAGATGTAAGTAAATCATAAAATCTTGGACAAGGTACCTCTGTACAAGGTGGTGAGAAGCTGGCCAAAGGCATGGTAGAATATGGAACTGAGAGGAAAGTAACATTTCCACTTTTTAACTGAAGTGAGTTAATTTTCTGAGCCTACAGGCTGTTTCTGTTGTACACACATTTTGTATTTAACCTTTGATATGCATGCAGTAAGAATGTTATATTTTAATAGCCCATATACTCTATACTTTCTAGTCTCATTTTTCCTATAATTTATATCAGTCTAATTACTGCTTTGATAAATTAAGTCTCTTTTGTGGCATCAGCTGACTGTGCCTCAGACCACATCTGTATCTGGGTGTTTGTATTAAAGATTCATCACTTGGTGCACTATTGGATCACTTTGAAGGCTCACAGCTGTCATGTGCATTCAGAACAGCAATTGGAGTGCTGCCTTGTGCCAATTATATTTCTGGTACTTGCTTAAGATTTGGGAGGAGACATATCCAAAGTGTTTGGAAATAAGCTTTACTAAGACATTTTTCTTTTAAAAAAATCCATATAAAGACAAACTGTTGGGAACTTGCATAGTGACGTGGTTCTAGAACTCTTGATCTGCTATAAATGTGTATTAAGAAATTGAGAGTTATTGCTTTATGGTTTTGCTGTTAGTTGCTCCTTTTTCTTTCATATAAGTCTGAACAGACAAAGGAATTTGGGAAAGTTCTAGTAAAATGCCTTTATCGGAAAGAATTTGTAATATACCTGAAAAATGAAGGGTTTAATAAACTCTTAACTCACTTTAGATGGCAGTTTTGAAAGAGATAGATCATCTGACTTTCCTAAATGCTCTGCGTGTGTTTTTGGCTCTTAATGCTATGGATTACTGTTCCATTCCAATCCTGAATGCCTGCAGTAAAAAGATCCAGGGTAAGAAAAAAATTTTTATTACATTTCCCTTCCTCATACTAAATTCTTCCTAATTATTGTCTCAACTCAGGAAGCATCTTTGTTTTACAGGATATTATGGTAATGTGGAGCCATTTGATAAGCAACAAGACAGAAAATTACTAATCAATAATGAAAGCAGATAGGTCTTGTAGTCTGCCCTTAACATTTACCTGGATTAAGTATTTTTCTTTGCTGTTTTCTGTATGCAGAATTTAGGAAAATAATTGAATTCTAGCAAGAAAAAAATAGATTTCAAATAAACTGTTAAAGGAAATCTGAATTGGAAACAGACATCTTAAAGGATGGATTGGTGGCTTAAGTAAACTAACAGGAATATAGTGTTTACCTAATGAACTGGACTTAACTATTGCTTAGTAACTGACCTCATGCTGCAGCCTAGAAAAAAAAAAAATCAAATTCTTTCACCTAATGGTTTCACCTCTCTCCATACCTTTACAATAAATTTATTGAAGTAGATGTGGTCAGTATGTATTGATTCACACTCAAAATACATGTGAATTTGTCTAGAAAAACATTAAGATAGCAAAATAACATTATTAACTTAAATGAATCAGTAGTGTTTAGGCTGCTGGTACAGCCGTTATTTGTCCTGTTTGTTTGTATGTATTAGGATAAAGCCTTTAATAATACATTTTGACTTCTGCTATAGGTGTTTCACCACACTCAGTACACAGACTAGTTGGCATACACAGAGTGAGCAGCTACTCAGTACTATTTTCTGCATATTTTAAGTGCATGGTTTCAGTACTTACATGCTATACATCATGCAAATGATTCTCTGGGGACAGAATGATTAATTTCTGGACAGAGGTGACCCCTTTCAGAGGCTAGAAATGGAATAGGAAGAGGAGCAAGAGGTACGCTGTGCTGTTTGTTGCTGGGGCTCTCAATAAAGTAGCCCACTCCCATATCTGGGGACCTGACCAGAACTGTAATAACTTCATAGGTACTTATAGAGTTAATTTTTGCAGCAGCAAGGTAGTGACCTGGTCATGATACTAATTTTCTAATTATGCAGGAGAAATTTAGGTCAGTGTCCAGTAATACAAGAGTCAGTTAGCCTGTTTTAAGAATACCTACCATTACATATCAATTTATTTGATGCCCAGCTCTTACTGGCTTCAATTGCAGTTGTCAGCACCCAGCACTTCAAGAAACGAGGTAACTGTTTTATGCTAAGCCTGGAAAATCACTGAGCACAACTCAGAAGCTAGATTCAGTTATTTTCTTGCTTCCCTTTTGAGTCCTCTGGCAGAGGAAAAGATGGAGTCTAGTTTTGATGGGTGCTGATTCTACTGCTGCAACTCTGCTCTTTTCTCTTGCAGTCACTGTCATTTATGACATATATGCCCCTCATTGCAGCAAACAAAGCAGGATGCTTGAGAGGGCATTGTTCTTCAGTACTTTTTAATCTCAGGAGTAGGTCCATCTCATGTAGCAAATGAAGCAGCAGTCCTGTGCAGAAGTTTGCTGTCATCTTGCACTCAATCTGTGTCATCATACTCATATGCTGGGAAGTTATGTTATGGTTCCATATTTTCCAATTTGGCATACAGTAATGCTTTAGTGCTTGACAGCTTTTAGTGCTTTTTTCGATGTAGATTAATATTTGTGGTTTCTTGCTGTTTTGTAAAACCAAATGGGAAAAAAAGGAAATTTCATTGTGTGCTAACATCTAATTAATCAGCAGCTTTAAATCCACCTCTTTTTTACTCCCTCGGCTGACAGGGTGATGCAGACAGCCCAAAGGCTTAATCAGTATTAGAAGGGCTAGCCTGAAGATTTCCATGCTGAGTGCAGGGATGTACTGGAAATCAACAATCCTAGAACAAAAGATGTTCTGGGAACACAGTCATCTTGCTTCTTCTGTTAATTTGTCCCTTTTTGCTGATGTGTCCCTTTTAGCTTGATCCTGAATCAGTTTGGTTTGTTCTACCTCTCCATTTCTTTGTCTGTTTTAGCAAGGTTGGCTTTGCCTAGCTAGTCTCAGTTCCTTATCTGATATTTTTTTCCCCTCCTCCATCCCTTAGCCAAACTGTTCCCACAATGTGTCTAACCTACAGCTCTCATTGCTTTGTAACATTTGTCCTTTTTTGCTCTTCTGTTACAGAGAATGTCCATGATGTTCCATTTCGGCAGTTAATTCTCATTCTGGAAACTTGTTGCAATCTCCAGTACCGTAATGTAAGACTGTTTTCAGTACTAGCAGACTATGTTAATTCTACTGCCTACCTTTGGGATAAAAGACAGGTGAGTTTGAGACCAAATAATTTATAATGGTACTAGTAGAATATCTGGTGCTTTCCATCTCATTTACTTTATGCTTGTGTTTGATCTTTGGAAAACAGATTTTTTTAGGAATACCAATCTGACAAAGTTGATATAGTTAATTTTTTTAAATGCTCTTCTATTTATTGATAAATAAAGAAATGAGAAATAGGTTTGGAAATGTTGCTTTCATTTGCAGTATCTTTTATTAAATCAATAGATAGGATCTACTTTTCTGGCTTTCTTGACCTTATAAAACTTTATCTTTTCTTTTAGATTATCCATTTTCTTTCTGCCTGCGAGACACTTTGCTATCAGCCTCGTGAGCTGATGGGTGTTTTTGCTGAGAAGGTGATAGAAGATCCTGAATTCCTCAACTTCAAAAACCTTTTGATTGTTCTCCGAGTGTATTCACGACTCAACTATGCTCCCAGAGACAAAAAGCATCTGTAAGTTTTTATTTAGAATGCATGATGATACATTATGTAGACATTATAGAGTAACGTGTGGCAACTGGTACTTGATTTCAGTTGTGAAAGAGTTTATAATCCTGTTTTATTAATTTGTAAGGTAAATTTGCTGTGTCTTTTTGTGGTTTTTTCTACATAGGAATTTTTCTCTGTAATTGAAAATAGAGACCTTGGTTGTAGATGGACCAGGCTACTAAATCTGTTGATGGGTAGCTGTGTCCTCAAAGAATCAAAAGCTAGTCTTAGATTACACAATTACACAAGATACTAAAGATTCTAACTTGTATTTTTTGTTTGAAATCTGTACTTGATATAGCCTTATTTGTGTATTTTGATACTTTTTTCTGATTTTGAAAAAGGTTTTTTGAGACTCTTCATAGCTGCTTGAATAAGTACCTCCTTCAGATTTCCAACACAGAACTGCTGAGGGCAGTGTATTCATTTTGCATCTTAGGATATCTTCCTCATCAAGCACTTGATGAGCTGCTACAAAAGGACAGCAGGGATGAACTTCTACTGTCAGGTGAGGCCTTACTTTGTCATAGCCTTGTTTTGAAAGTGATGGTCTGCCTCCATACATAATTTGTTGTAATTGTGTTGAAAGTTAGAAATTAAAGAATGCAAACAAGATTAGTATTAAAATTGAAGTCCTCAAGACAAAGCTAACATAGTGGTGACGATCTAAGTGATCTGTTTCTGCAGTAGGGCATCAGGCTTATTTGGCCCCGTGGTGGCAACAGTTTAATGGAGAGAGGTGACTGAGATTTGTGGAAATGGTAGAAATGTTTAAGAGCCAGGGGTTCTATCTTCAACAGATGTTCAGGCACTTTTAAAAACAGAGGAAGTCTTAAACTTTGTAAACTAACTTTAATACTTGGAATCATGAGTAAAAGGGGTTTTTGTCTGCTCTGAGTTGTAATGAGGAACTTGAAATGATTTGTATTAGAATTTGGTTTCCACATGACAGTTCCCTACAGCCAGTAGAGTAGTTCAGTGGAGTAGAAGTCTAGTGTAGAGCAAAACAGTGTGTCTTGCTGTTGATGCTGCTGTGACTGAACCTGAAAGTCGTAAAGCTGTAACTGCTTGGAGTTTGCACAGCTTAGTACTCTTAAAGTACAGTTTCAAAATCATGGCCATTGCTGATCTCCCTTACTTATTTCAGAAATAGCCTTCTAGTTGTCTGGATTTTATAAATGGTTTTTATGCATGCTTTCTCATTCTGTGTTATCGTTAAGTCTCCTGTAATAACTGATAGCATGCACAGAGCTGTGTACAGTAGAGGGGAAGGACTGGGTAAATGGACAGGTTCCAGCTGTAGACCTTCATAATATAGTTAGTGAAATGATGGTGTATAATACCAATATATTGAAGATATTCAATAATATGCAGTGAAAAAACAATTTTGTATTGATTCCTATCTTGAAATTAATTTGCTCTGCCAGAACAGACTAAATGATAATAAAATGAAAAATTCTGTGGGATGATACATTGCATATAATATTTTTTGTACCATTTTTCAGATGATCTTTACAAAGAACAAAAGGAAATGATGCTTCACTGTGTGAAAACATGTGCGGAACTTGATAGCCCTTCCTTCACGAAGCCTGCATTTGTGCTGACTGAGAATTTCTCTTCATTAGTATCTCTTAATCTCAAAAAGGCTCGGGCAGCACTTATAGAACTTCTGGGAGATGAGACCATGTTTCGGCAGAACGTTCAGCTGCCATACAGATACCATATTGGTATGAAGCCACCTCACTGTCATGTTCTTTTTAATGTAGATTAATAATTCCCAAAATAAAGAGGTGGTAACAAATGTGCATAGGGTACAAGTGATTAAAAGTGTAACACTTTGAAGACACAGTCTTTTAAAAAATTATGTCCTTGATTGGTGAATCTTCTTTCTAGGATACTTCAGTTGAAATATTTAAGTTAATTTACTAAATTATGTGATTGCTCTTATTTACAAAACTTCCTTGGACATTTTGTTAAGCATCAGTAAGCAGATATTCATTGTACATAAATCCAATGTGGGCAGCTGTTTTAGAGTTGACATATTCATTCTAAATCACAGAAAAAAAGCCAAACAGCAGCTTTTTTTTGTTCTCTGACTTGTTTCTTCTCTGAAGCTCTGGCTTGAGTTCTGCTTTTCTTTATAAAATGCAATACGGCCTTCTTTGACAGGTGATAATTTCATAACATTTGGTTTCTTTTATATTTTGACGTTGTGCTTTTTTTTTTTTTTTTTTTTTTTTTTGTGCCAGCCATGCAGCTTACCAATGTTTTTGTATTTGTAATAATTTTCTTCCTAAATATTTCTAATGAAGAATTGAATTACAGGACAATTGCGGTCAGTATGACAGACTAGTTTCTTTAAACTGTGGTTTCAGTCCCATAAAGTTATATCTACAGTTTCCAAAAACAAAGGTGTTTTTTTTCTGGAGATGTGCAGGCTATGGTTGTTTATATGCAAATTACTGGAGAACAGCAACTAGAAAAACAGCAGTGGTGTCTTAACTTTTTCAAATTAGTAATTCATTCAAAACCAATTTGAACAATTAACATTCAAATGAGAACATTAATTGTAACCTTTTGCAATGTTAAACGTTTTGGTATTTTGTTTTCAGATTTTGAAATCAGAATGGATACAGACAGAAAGAAGGTGCTCCCAACAGCTGCAGCAGATAATCTTGCTGACTCAAGTGTTCAAAGGTGTCTTTTTTGATTGCATATTTTTTATAGCATGCTAGTTTTATTTATATGTGTTCCATCCAGTAACTTACTTAGTTCACTGATTTGCAGAAGCAAAGTAGATAACTGACTTCTTGTTTGTGCACACTGAAATATAACAAAATTGCCATGCCAATTCAGAGCAACAACTCATCCAGTTCGCTGCCTACTTCTAACAGAGGCTAAAACTTAACAATTCAGAGAAGGAGGCAGGAAACATCACAGTAGTCTGATACTCTTATATTGGATACGGGTCTTGAAGTATGACTGAAAATTCCAAGTATTTGTGTGTCCAGTTCAACATTCAGTTATTCTCTTAAGTCTCTAAAATGTGTGTCTCAGTGGTATGTTACGGCAATTAATTCAGCTGCTGAAATATAGTTTGAATAAAAAGGATCATCATATCCCTATTTTAAGTGATTAATCTTGTGTAGAGAAATGACCTCTCAGTAACTGAAGTGGGACATGTATCATTAAAGCAATGCTTAAGTGGAATTGGTAATACTTAACATTTCTGTGCTGGATCACTGCACAGCATTGTCTTTTGTATAGATTGCTTTTTGGGAAGAGGAGAGCTAGTGAATTGTGTAACTGTCACGTTTCCAAGGCATTCAGCTTGCCTTACCCTTGCAAGTAGGTTTATGGCAGGAAGCAACTGAATATTAGCAAAGGTTCAAAGTAAATGCAGAAACTGTGTGGGGAATGTTCCATCTTCTCTCCCCCTCGCGTAAGACTAAACAAAATGCCTTTCAAGCCAGCAAAGCAAGAGTGGCGTCTTTTTGCTGATTTAGCCAAGGATGGACTGGAACAGGCCCCTTGCTCTACCAGATAAGTCCACAAGAAGAAAAGAGCACAAGAGTTACGATAACTGGCAGAAAAATGGACAATAGGTAAAATACTGCCTCTGACAGAGTACATACCTGGCCAATGCTAATAGCCTAATTTTAACAGTAGTACTTTACAAGAACAGTGATTTCTGATCTATGAAAGAGGGCAAGTTCTGCAGGTCCATGGCTCTCTGCCTGCCTGGGAGGAGACCTTGCTGCAGCTTGTAACAAACTGTCAAAATAACACAGAGTTTTGAATGATTGCTTGCCTTCTCATTGTGGGAGAAGTAGAGATCTAGGAACTTAATTCTGCTGTAGGTATTTGGACAGACGATGATACTTTGCACGAAGCTCGTAGAAGAAAAGAGGGTCTACATTACTTAAGCCTGGAGAAGGAAAAGTATAATGAAATCTGTGCAGTCCAGATATTTTTGCCTACTAGAAAGACAGCTATATATTCTGCATTGTTAAAGGACAGCATTGAATCTTTGTATTAAAAATGTTTGTTCTGCATTTGTACAATGGAGTCCTCCCTAATTTTCTTCATTGTAGATTGGCTTTTCTCTTTGTTCCTCTGTCGGCCTTCTGTGTGGGTACAACGCATCCCTTAGGGATGCTGGCAATGAAGAAGCGGCATCTAAGTAACCTGGGCTATCATGTAATTCTGGTAAGAGGGTCCTGTTCTCCTCTCTGTTTCAGTCCTGTTTTCAGCACAGTGAAGAGTATGTTTATTTTGTAGAACACATCTTGGGAAAGCTAAGCCTTCTTCAGAGTGGTAATTGTGTATCATCTACACTTAGAAAGTAGTGGTGGTGTCACTAGGAAGAAAGGACAGAGAAACTGTAAAAGATTAGCTACCATTTATCATTACCAGTGGAATAAATATAATCATAGTCCATTAAAAAAAATTCAAGTCACTGAATTGCTTTTTACCTAAAAATCTATGTGACTTTGGCTAATTTCCCTGCTTTTTGTAGAATGAATCATTCAAGTCAACTTTTTTTCAAAATACAGTTAATTCCTATGGCCTTCCCATCACAGCACTTGGTTTGTGCAACAGGGTAGTTTGCTAAAGACAACAGAAGTAATGTACCCTTGCCTTTTCCTTTCTTCCAGATCCAGAGCAAGAAGTTTCAGGAAATGACAAATGAAGATGCAGTTAAGTTTTTGAAAGGACAAATTTATTCAGAAAATGTTTTCCCTTTTTCTGAAGTGACTGTGCAGGATAATAATTAAAATAAACTAACAATTTTGAGTCTCCTGATCTCTTTTCCTATGTAATTAATGTAAGGTTTTAATGGAAGAGATAAGCAGTTTTATACACAATTGCCCAAAGTATTACCGATTGAGAAGTTTGTAAAGGGAGGAAAGCGGTTGTGAAGTGGGATTGAATTTTCTTTAGTGGAAGGAACCACTTAATCCAAAAAGGATCCTTGTATCTATTGTTGACATTTCTTAATTTTATCTTAACTTTGCTTCCTCTCCATGCCCCAAGTCAAATTTTTCTCTTCTCCTGAGCTGGGTCAGGGAAAGGAAGTGCTCGTTTCGAACCTAGCCTACAAATATGCTCTGGAGGGATTCCCCTCAGCATCCCACCCCAACCATCCCTTCTGTTAATCTTTACACAGAACTGTAGATGTTAAAGCAGTAAATAAATCAGCCCAAGGGATATATTTAAAAAAATCCAAAGTTACTGGAAAAGTTTCTGAATAAATAAATCTCAACTCAGTTTTCAGAAGTTCAGAACAATAATGATTCTGTTAGCTATATGCTTTTTCTTTTGAACTTTTTGCTTCACTGCTACTGTAACGATTTTGAGATTTCTCCCTACAAGAACACAGGTCTAGCCCATCTTTATGAACTGACTCTTGCACTCTGTGTCTGATATTAGTGTCTCCACAACTACAGAGGTGTTGCAATGCACACATTTTTTCATTACATATTGTGATGGACCTCCACAGGCTTCTTATGAAGTGATGGAATTTACTATGTTAGGAGTCCTAGAAGTTCAAAGCAGCTTTGAGCTGAAAGATGGAACTACTATGTCTTTTCTGTTCTTGGTAGCATTTACAGGTAAAATGCATTTGTTGTGGTGGAGTTGCTGAAGTACTTAGTAAGTATTGCAATGCTCAAAATACATACATTTGCCAACAACAGCTTGCCTGTTTCTGTGGTGTGATCAGATCTTTAGTCACAATTTTGCTGTACCATAGCCACAGCCCAACTGGCTTGTAGGGTAACAGCAAAACT